TCCATTCAGTTTGTACCTGAAACAGTTTCCAGTTGAGAGTTATGCTTAGTAAACTCGTTGACTCAATGAATGGGTGGGAGCGAGGGAGGGTCCCCATGCCCATTGTGGTAGGTGGATTAACGGCCGCAAAAATGTCCACATCCTAATCCCCAGAACCTGTGACTGTGTCATATCACGTGGCAAAGGGAAATTAAAGTTGCCAATGGAATTAAGATTGCTTTCTTCACTTAGGGAGATTAGCCTGGGTTATCCAAGTAGGCCTAATATAATCACAGGGCTTAAGTCAGGGATGTCCAATCTTTTGGCTTCCCTGTGCCACACTGGAAGAAGAAATGTCTTGGGCCACACAAAATACACTAACACAATAGCTGATGAGCTAAAAAAAAATTACAAAAAAATCTCATAATGTTTTAAGAAGCTTTACTAATGTTTTCCTGGACCACATGCAGCCTGTGGGCCACAGATCGGACAAAGTTGCTTTAAGTGGAAAAGGGAGGCACACAAGTGAGAGTGAGGGAGAGATCTGAAGATCCTACCTAGATGGCTTTGAAGATGTAGGAAGGGGCCAGGTGTGGTGGCTCATGCCTGTAATCCCAGCACTTTGGGAGGCCGAGGTGGGTAGATCACCTGAGGTCAGGAGTTCCAGACCAGCTTGGCCGGCACGATGAAACCCCGTCTCCACTAAAAATACAAAAATGAGCCGGGCATGGTGGTGCACACCTGTAATCCCACCTACTTGGGAGGCTGAGGCAGGAGAATCACCTGAACCCAGGAAGTGGAGGTTGCAATGAGCCAAGATCATGCCACTGCACTCCAGCTTGGGCAACAGAGCGAGACTCCATCTCAAATAAAAAGAAGATACAGGAAGGGACTTTGAGACTTGGAAATGTGGGTGGGGCCTTGAGCCAGGAAATGTGGGTATCCTCTAGGACCTAGGACAAGAAAGGAAACAGATTCTCCTTTAAAGCCCAGAAAGACCTACTTAGGACTTCTGACCACTACTAAACTTAAGGTAATTCGTTACAGCAGGAAGAGGAAACTAATTACACCTTTTATTTATTTATTTATTTATTTATTTATTGTTATTATTATTTTTGAGACAGAGTCTCTCTCTGTTGCCCAGGCTGGAGTGCAGTGGCGTAATCTCGGCACACTGCAACCTCTGTCTCCTGGGTTCAAGTGATTCTCCTGCGTCAGGCTCCCGAGTAGCTGGGATTACAGGTGTGCGCCACCATGCCCGGCTAATTTCTGTATTTTTTGTAGAGATGGGGGTTTCACCGTATTGGCCAGGCTGGTCTTGAACTCCTGACCTGTGTGATCCACCTGCCTCCCAAAGTGCTGGGATTACAGGTGTGAGCCCCTGCGCCCGGCCTGCTCTCACAAAGTCTCTGTGTTAAAGCATCGGGAGGAGGCAGGGATGCACACAGACAACACCATACAGAAATTTCAAACAATGCAGGATCAGAAGTGCTCTGAAGGGGAGAAAAGGAGGGTTAAGGGGCCAGCAGGTGCTGAGGAGCTGCCACTTTACACAGGGTGGTCATGGAAGGTTTCTCAGAAAAGGCTGCCTTTGGCCGAATGCAGTGGCTCACGCCTGTAATCCCAACACTTTGGGAGGCCGAGGCAGGTGGATCACCTGAGGCCAGGAGTTTAAGACCAGCCTGGCCAACATGGTGAAACCCCAGCTCCACTAAAAATTTTAAAAAATAATAATTTTTTAAAAATTAGCTGGGCGTGGTGGTGCACGCCTGTAATCCCAGCTACTTGGGAGGTTGAGACAGGAGAATCGCTTGACCCCGGGAAGTGGAGGCTGCAGTGAGCCGAGATCGCGCCATTGCACTCCAGCCTGGGCGAGAAAGTGAGATTCTGTCTCAAAAACAAAACAAAACAAAACAAAACAAAAAACAAAATGTAAAAAGCCGCCTTTGAGCAGAGACTTGAACGACGTGAGGCAGCCAGGGGGTTCCATAAGGAAGGGTACTCCAGGCAGGTACAAAGGCTGAGAGGTGGGAGAGTGGTGGGTGTACTGTGGAACAGGGAGGAGGCCTAAGGGAGCCCTTTGGGAGGATCCAGTGTGGTGATGTCTACGGCGCGCCGTGTTCCTCACTCCTGAATTACTGAAGGAGCCCTGGCCCTCCTCCACCTGAGAAAACTGGGCTCAGAAAGCTGCGTGAGGAATTGGGTAGCACAGGGGGCTGAAGTAAGGTGAAGGCCAGAGGGTGGGCCATCTGTGGACTCCTAGTGTAGTGCTCTGTCAGCAGTCCTGGCCATCTCTACTCTGGAGCACCAGCCTGAGGTTCTGCGTCTCTCATCTTTGGGCTTTAGCCTCTTCTTCCTCCTGGTCTGTTTCCAGATCATCAGCTGGTGTTTGGCTCACGGGGTGGCCGGAGCTGCCAGGCGTGCCGGGGGCATCGGGGCCATGCTGTTTTTCTGCTGGTTTCCCTTCTGCCTGCTGGTGCCGCTGAGGCTGCTGGGCGCGGGGGAGGCCGGGCTGGAACTGGGGGACCTGTGGGTGTTGCTCAGACCTCTGGGTTCACCCTGGCGGGGGCCTGCAACTACCTCAACCCTCTACTCTACATGGGTGGGGACCAGGCCCTCTGGTCCTGCCAAGGGGGAGGGTCTGAAGATGCACAGGTGGCAGTGGACACAGGGGATGGGGCCCTCGCCGACCTGTGAGGACCTGAAGGAAAATTCCTGGGGAGTCAGGAAGGGTGGGTGGGGAGGGGGCAGCCCCCCATGTCAACCTCCGGATAATGTGAGACTCTGAGCTGAGAGAAGACAGAGATGATGGGCAGGGTGGGGAGGCAGAGAGAGATGGAGGAGCAGGGAGGACAGAGACCCAGAGAGACAGGGGGACAGAGACCCAGAGAGACAGGGGGACAGAGACCCAGAGAGACAGGGGGACAGAGACCCAGAGAGACAGGGGGACAGAGACCCAGAGAGAGAGGGACAGAGACCCAGAGAGAGAGGGACAGAGACACAGAGAGAGGGGGACAGAGACCCAGAGAGACAGGGGGACAGAGACCCAGAGAGACAGGGGGACAGAGACCCAGGGAGAGAGGGGGACAGAGACCCAGAGAGACAGGGGGACAGAGACACAGAGAGACAGGGGGACAGAGACCCAGAGAGAGAGGGGGACAGAGACCCAGAGAGACAGGGGGACAGAGATCCAGAGAGACAGGGGGACAGAGACCCAGAGAGAGAGGGACAGAGACCCAGAGAGAGAGGGACAGAGACACAGAGAGAGGGGGACAGAGACACACACAGAGAGAGAGACAGAGACCCAGAGAGAGGGGGACAGAGACACAGAGAGAGAGAGAGAGACAGAGACCCAGAGAGAGAGAGGGAAACAGACACCTAGAGAGGGAGGGGTACAGAGCCCCAGAGAGAGGGGGACAGAGCCCCAGAGAGGCAGGGAGAGACCCAGAGAGAAAGCAGTAAGACGGAAGAGGCGACGCCGGGAGCAGGAGCGATGCGGATGGAAGGGAGACACACAGAGGCACAGAGGGGAGGGGAGAGACCGGCCAGGCTGCTGGGAGGGGCAAGTGGGACACAGAAAAGGCCAAAGAGGCCAAGACTCAGTGAGAGACAGAAACATGGAGAACTCTAGTGAGAGACGGACATAGAACCGGCGCTGGAGGAACACGAGGAGAGGGGAATCACCGCTGAACAGGACACACACAGTGACACACAGACTGAACGACAGAGACAGAGAGAGGAGAGAGCCAGCTTTGAGACAGCGAGAGGCAGGGGCCTGGGTGGAAAGCCTGGAACACAGACGTGGCCTAGGAATTCGGCAAGTGGAACAAGGGTGACCACCCGCTGTGGCTGTCCCAGGACTGAGCAATTCCTGAGATGTGGAACAGCCAGTGCTGAAGTCAGAAGTTGTGTGCAAACAGAGCTTGCTGGTCCCCGCACGTGAGACAGAATGAGGGACAGGAGCGGGCCGCCAGATTTTCTGGTTCCTGAAGGAGTCCATTGTGAAATATGCAAGTGCCTTCCGACCTTGCGCCCCAGGCCCTCTGCCCTGGGGAACAATGTGCTTCACCTTCCTTCAGTTTCAAGCTTCTGAATGTTTCCAAACTGAAAGGTAAATTTGGCCCCATGTTTTGAGTCTTTGATATATCCATGGAGCTCCCTCTGAAATGCGCTCAGCTCCAGGAAGAGGAAAATCGACCTCTTCGTCTTCTGGGAACGCATTACAGTGAGGGCTGCTGACCCTGGCTGCACGGCAGAATCTCCAGGGAGAGCTTTTAACATAAAATCGATGTCCAGGCCCCATCCCCAGACCCTGTGGTTTAAGTGGTCCTGGGTGGAGCTCGGCTCTGGGAATTTAAAAACCTCCCCAGGGATTTCTGCGGGCAGCTGGGCTGAGACCCATCTATCCGTGGTTGTGAAAATACAACCTGGGGCTGGGCACAGTTGCTCACGCCTATAATCCCAGCACTTTGGGAGGCTGAGGTGGGTGGATCACTTGAGGTCAGGAGCTCAAGACCAGCCTGGCCAACATGATGAAATCCCGTCTCTACCAGAAATACAAAAGAAAAGAAAAAAAAAGTGAGCACGGTGGCTCACGCCTGTAATCCCAGCACTTTGGGGGGCCGAGGCAGGTGGATCACCTGAGTTAAGGAGTTCAAGACCAGCCCGGCCAACATGGTGAAATCCCATCTCTACTAAAAATAGGAAAATCAGCCAAGTGTGGTGGCGTGCACCTGTAATCCCAGCTACTCGGGAGGCTGAGGCAGGAGAATCACTTGAACCCGGGAGGTGGAGGTTGCAGTGATCCAAGATCTCGCCACTGCACTCCAGCCTGGGTGATAAAGCAAGACGCCATCTGAAAATAAATACATAAATAAAAATAAAGAAAAAGAAAAGAAAAAAGAAATACCAAAAAAATTACCCAGGTGTGACAGCACCTGTCATCCCAGCTACTCAGGAGGCTGAGGCAGAAGAATCGCTTGAACCTGGGAGGTGGAGGTTGCAGTCAGCTGAGATTGTGCCACTGCACTCCAGCCTGGGCGACAGAGCGAGATTCCATCTTTAAAAAAAAAGAAAAAGAGAAAGAAAAAGAAAATACAACCTTGATAGCTCCCAGAGGACTGAGAAAGGCAGCACTGAGTGGTTCAAACCCTGGGGTGCAAAAGGGAAACGGAGGGGAGCGGGTGGCGGAACGCAAAGACCAGCTTTGCTGTCAGTATTTGTTAGTGGTGATGGGGGTGCTGTGACTCATGCCTGTAATCCCAACACTTTGGGAGACCATGGTGGGAGGACTGTTTGAGGCCAGGAGTTCAAGACCAGCCTGGGCAACATAGAAAGACCTCATCTCTACCGAAAAAAAAAAAAAAAATTAGCCAAGCGTAGTGGCCTGCACCTGTGGTCCCAGCTGCTAGGGAGGCTGAGGTGAAAAAAAAAGGCCGGGCGCGGTGGGTCAAGCCTGTAATCCCAGCACTTTGGGAGGCCGAGGTGGGCAGATCACGAGGTCAGGAGATGGAGACCATCCTGGTTAACACAGTGAAACCTAAAAATACAAAAAAATTAGCCAGGCGTGGTGGCGGGCGCCTGTAGTCCCAGCTACTTGGGAGGCTGAGGCAGGAGAATGGCGTGAACCCCGGAGGCGGAGCTTGCAGTGAGCCGAGATGGCGCCACTACACTCCAGCCTGGGCGACAGAGCGAAACTCGGTTTCTAACAAACAAAGACATGGGAAAAGGCATTCCAGGCTGGGACCCAGCAGTGCAAACAGGGGACTATCTTCGAGTTCGCTGTGGCCAAGAATACACCAGGGCCGACATGGGAGGTGAGTGAGGTTTTTTTTGTTTTTTTTTTTTAAGCCTGGAGGGGGTCAGGTTACTTGCAGCCTCCAATGCTCAGTGGAGGGCCTGGAATGCAGGGCCACTGGAGGGCTGTGAGGAGAAAGGGACAGGGTCAGCTCTGGGTACAGGAGGACCCCTCTGAGGACTGGAGGAGAGAGAGAGAAGGCTGGGGTGAGGGTCCAGCGGGGGAGGAAGCCCAGGCAGGGAGGAGGGAGGAAGCAGCCAGGAACCCCCCAGGTCTCAAAAAATTGTGGTTTTGAGCGAGACTCTGTCTCAAAAACAAACAATTGTGGTATTGCCAAAACCGACGTTTATTTCTTGCGCTCAACCCTTAAGGCAGCCAATTTCTGGTTGAGAAAATAGTGCAACACCGCCACTGTGTGGCTATTTGGAGTTTTGCAGCCAATAACTCGAAAGTAAAGCCCGCCTCCAAATAGAAGCTTTTGAGAACTTCAGGAGGGCGCTGTTGCCACTGATGCTAAAACATTGGCCCAAAATGTTGGTGATCCACAAAAATTCTATTAATTTGAGATAAAATTATAGTGCGACTATGAATCTTTTTATTACTGAAATTTGTGGCCATTACTGAAATTTGTGGCCAAGCGCTGTGGCTCACACCTGTAATCCCAGCACTGTGGGAGGCCGAGGCGGGCGGATCGCTAAGTCAGGAGTTCAAGACCAGCCTGGCCAACATACTGAAACCCTGTCTCTACTAAAAATACAAAACTTAGCCAGGCATGGTAGCAGGTGCCTGTAGTCCCAGCTACTTGGGAGGCTGAGGCAGGATAATTGCTTGAATCTGGGAGGTGGAGGTTGCAGTGGGCCGAGATCGCGCTATTGCACTCCAGCCTGGGTTTAACAGAGCGAGACTCCATCTCAAATAAAATAAAATGAAATTTGTGAGGCCGGGCGCGGTGGTTCACGCCTGTAATCCCAGTACTTTGGGAGGCCGAGGCGGGTGGATCACCTGATGTTGGGAGTTTGAGATCAGCCTGACCAACATGGAGAAACCCCATCTCTACTAAAAACACAAAATTAGCCAGGCATGGTGGTGCATGCCTGTAATCCCAGCTACTCGGGAGGCTGAGGCAGGAGAATTGCTTGAACCTGGGAGGCGGAGGTTGCGGTGAGCCGAGATTGCACCATTGCACTCCAGCCTGGGGGACAAGAGCAAAACTCTGTCTCGGAAGGAAGGAAGGAGGGAAGGAAGGGGGGGGGAAGGGGAGGGGAGGGGAGGGAGAAAGGAAGAAAGGAAAGGAGGAAATTTGTTGAGCTTTTCCAGGAAAACCTAGCACGCACAGTCAACCCTACTCCAAAGCTGTCTTTTCAGATATTGAGCTGAAATGAAATTGCTTTTGCCTAGATGAGAAGGTAGGTGAAATGCAACTGAAGGTTGAAGTGTCCCCCAGGGCACTGACCTGAGGATGCTGGAGATAGAGGCAGGGGGTTGGGGAAGGGCACTATGCAAGGGGGCTGCTAAGGAACTGGCTATGGGGGTGAGTCTGCACACTTTTATAGGAAGGGACATTGCTGGTGGGTGTTGAAGGTTAAATAGGAGCTTGTTAAGAAAAGAGGTTGAGCACAATGGCTCACACCTATGATTCCAACACTTTGGGAGGCTGAGGTAGGAGGACTGCTTGAGGTCAGGAGTTAGAGGCCAGCTTGGGCAACATGCATGGTGAGACCCTGTCTCTAAAAAAATTAATAAAAGTTAGCTGGGCATGGTGGTGAACACCTACAGTCCCAGCTACTCAGGAGGCTGAGGCAGGAGGATCGCTCGAGCCCGGGAGTTCAGGGTTGCAGTGAGCTATGATCATACCACTGTACTCCAGCCTGGGCAACAGAGTGAGATCTCATCTCAAAAAGAAAAAAAAAAGAGGAAGATGTGTTGATACAGTATGACAGTGATGGAGAAAACGATGATAACTAAAGCCCGTTGCAGCTGATGTGACAAGTGCATTCACATCTTGGATCTCAGGCTGCCCTGGCTGTGGTTTTCCGGGGCCCACTGGACGAAGATTTTCGCCTTCGTCTGATGGAGAAGAAGTCGGGGGATCAGAGGGAAATAACAAATCCGAAGTACACAGCAGCCTGTGTTGGTGCCAGGTGCTGAATCTGCCCTGCTCTTTCTTCCCTCTGTGACCTTACACCCAGAGTTGAAATGTTCTTCCTCTTCTTGGAATGCCCCAGACAGACTCCTACTCATCCCTCAAAACCCAACTCAGACTCCCAGCTCCTAGCCTCAAACCTGAGAGGGTGGGCCCTCACCACTCTCCTACCTCAGACTCTGGAGTCCGGACCCCCACCCCAGTCCCTCCTGAAACACGGAGTCCCCAGGTGTGATGTAGGCCTGAGGCCGGGCGCAGGGGCAGTGGGCGGGGGAGCAGGATGTGCAGATTCAGTTACATTTATTCGGCCTCAGAGCGATGGTCCGGGCAGAGGCAGGGCTTTTGGGTGGGGAGGTCCTGGGTCTTCTCACTGCTGAGCCTGAGAGAGGAAAACAGGGAGATATACCGAGACGTGGGAGAGAAAGAGAGATCAATATGACAAAACCGGACCAGGGAGACAGAGACTCAGCCCCCACCTCCGCCCTCTTCCCGCTCACTTTGTTGAAGAAGTAGATGGAAGTCAGGATGGTGAACACGGCCATGGCCAGAGTCACATTCTGGGGGGAGGAGATCAGAGGTCAGGACCCTTCCCCTCCCCGCCCTCTGCCCCGCCCCAGGCCTCCCTTCCCTGCCAGACCCCTCCTCACTTCCTGAAAGTTCATGGCCTTGGGATTCCAGCCACCCCTTGCTTGGTCTTCTCTCCCCTTCCTGGGCCTCTGAGCCAGAGAGGGGAGAAGCCACTGGAACCCCAAGAGGGGGTTGTCAGAGCAACAAGAATGGTGGCCAGGGCAACCGGGGAAGGGCATTCTGGCAGAGGCACAGGGCAGAGACAGGCCCTGGTGTGGCCCGCCACACGCGGCATCTGAACGTGACATCGGGACATGTGAGACTGGAGAGTCTGAACCTCGAACACCATACTGAGGCGTCTGGGTTTTTCCCCGGAGGGTGCTGGGGAGCCATGGGAGGGTTGAGAGCAGGGGAGGGACCGAGTCAGTTCTGGATGTAGAAATATCTCACAGCAGGAGCCTGCAGGCCAGGAGAACAGTTGAGGAGGTCCAGGCAAAATTTCCTCCTCCAGATGGGAGGATCACTTGGGCTCAGGAGGTTGAGGTTGCCATGAGCCAAGATCACGCCACTGCACTCCAGCCTGGGCAACAGAGCGAGATCCTGTCTCCACAACTACAACTAAAAAATAAAATAAAATAAAATACATGTGATACATGCATGTGTGAGATATCTATTTACCTATCACTACCACAAAAAAGGAGACTATACAATCTGGCTATTCAGGTAGCTATTTGCATTATTTCTGGCAGATAGAGTCTTGCTGTTTTTGGTAGCCATGTTGTACAACTGTGAACACTTATTGGGGAAATACGTGTGTGTGTGTGTGTACATATATATGTACTATATATGTGTACTATATATGTACTATATATGTGTACTATATATGTACTATATATATACACACACATATACAGGGTTGGGTGCGGTGGCTCATGCCTGTAATCCCAACACTTTGGGCAAGTGAGACAGGAGAATCGCTTGAGCCCAGGAGTTCGAGACCAGCCTGGGCAACATAGTAAGACCCCATCTCTTTAAATATATATAAATATAGGCCAGGTGCGGTGGCTCACACTTGTAATCCCAGCACTTTGGGAGGCCAGGGCGGGAGGATCACTTGAGGTCATGAGTTTGAGACCAGCCTCGCCAACACGGTGAAACCCCATCTCTACTAAAAAAACAAAAAATTTAGCCGGGTGTGGTGGTGTGCACCTGTAGTCCCAGCTACTCAGGAGGCTGAAGCACGGGCAACACTTGAACCCCAGGTGGGGGAGGTTACACTGAGCCGAGATCACGCCACTGCACTCCAGCCTGGGCAACAGAGTGAGACTCTATCTCAAAAAAATAATAATAATAAATAAATAAAAATAAATAAAAAGAAAAATATACACTTGTATTAATGAAGCAGTGGGTTCTTATTTGCTGATTCAGTGGTCACGGTTGTACAACATTGCTCCTATGAATAACAAGGATTGTAAAACAATACCTCAGGGCACTACCCAGAAAATTCCAGAAGGCAACACATTCCGCAGAGCAAGGGGCACCGTCTCTCCAACAAATCCATGCCACAATGCAAAACAAAAGCAAGTGGCCTTGCTATATTTGAAAAAAATCCGTTAAGAGACACAGGACCAGCTTTGATGGGTGATCCTGGACCAGGTTTTGGTTTAGACAAACAAGTTATAAAGGCTCTTCGGGTGGCAGACTGAGGCAGGAGGATGGCTTGAAGCCAGAAGTTTGAGACCAGCCTGGGCAGCGTGGCGAAACCCTGTCTCTACTAAAAATACAAAAATTAGCCAGGTGCGGTGGTGTGCACCTATAGTCCCAGCTACTCAGGAGGCTCAGGCACGAGTATCACCAGAACCCAGGAGGCAGAGGCTGCAGTGAGCCGAGATTGTACCACTGCCCTCCAGCCTGTGTGACAGAGTGAGACCCTGTCTCAGAAGACAAAACCAAACAAAGTCTCTTTGGGGAGAAATGGAGGGACATTTGAACAGGGAGTGGGTATCAGACAAGACCAAAGCACTGTTGCCAAGGAGAAGAGGAGGTTAACTGAAAGACGCAGGTTACAAAATTGCAGGTTCTGTATGATCTCATTTTGGTAAGAAGTACATATATGAAAAACTGCATTTAAACATCAGGTTTCGCTCTGTCGCCCAGGATGGAGTAGAGTGACAGAATCAGGGCTCACTGCAGCCTCAACTTTGGGCTCAAGCGACAAGTGGCTGGGACTACAGGCGTGCGCCACTACACCTGGCTAGTTTTTTGGTATTTTTAGTAGAGACGGGGTTTCACCATGTTGCCCAAGCTGGTCTGAAACTCCTGAACCCAACTGATCTGCCCACTTCGGCCTCAGAAAGTGACAGGATTACAGGTGTCAGGCACCATGCCTGGCCCAGTTATATTGATTGCAGACTTCCGACCTCCCGAACTGTCGTTTGAAGCCACTGAGTGGTAAACTGTCACAGGAGCCAATACATCAGTAGATATTAAAGTGCTGACATCTCCAGGGGCTAGAACATGGTTTCTAGTTTCTTAATTTTGCTTCAGGGTTGTTTTTTTTTTTTCTCTTTTCTATTTTTTTTAGAGACAGGGTCTTACTCTGTTGTCCAGGCTGTAGTGCAAAGGTATGATTATAGCTCACTGAAGCCTCAAATTCCTGGACTCCCGTGATCCTCCCATCTCAGTCTCTTGAGTAGTTGGGACTACAGGCACACGCCACCATACCATGCCTGGCTAATTTTTGTTTATTTTTTATAGAGATGGAGTCAGGGCGGTGGGGGTCTCTTCATGTTGGCCAGGCTGGTCTTGAACTCCTGGCCTCAAGCAATCCTCCCACCTTGGCCTCCCAAAGTTCTGGGATTACAGCTGTGAGCTGCCAGCTCCTGGTCTGGCTTAAGCCTCCAGCTCTTCTACTACTTTATTCCAGGGGCCTCTATCGTATTTCAAGTATGGGGAGAGAGAGAGATTCACAAAACTTTCATAACTGGTGCAGGAGCTCACACCTGTAATCCCAGCACTTTGAGAGGCCGAGGTGGGAGAACTGCCTGAGCCCAGGAGTTTCAGACCAGTCTGGGCAATACAGCAAAACTCTGTCTCAAACAAACAAACAAACAAACAAACAAACAAACAAACAAACAAAACAGGACAGGACTGGAGGCTGACTGTGCACAGTGAGGCAGGAGAGCCAGCCAGCCCCAGACGGTGCTGAGAAGTGTAGATTTTATCAGCATTGTGGGATGGTAAGGCCACCCGAGCAGCAGACGATTGCCACTGAAAGATGACTTGTTGGCTGGGCATGGTGGCTCACGCCTGTAATCCCAGCACTTTGGGAAGCCGAGGCGAGTGGATCACCTGAGGTCAGGAGTTCGAGACCAGCCTGGTCAACATGGTGAAAACCCATCTCCACTAAAAAAAAAACAAACAAAAATTAGCTGGCCATGGTGGCACATGCCTGTTATTCCAGCTACTAGGGGGGCTGAGGCAGGAGGATCTCTTGAACCTGGGAGGTGGAGGTTGCAGCGAGCTGAGATCATGTCACTGCACTCCAGCCTGGGCAACAGAGTAAGACTACGTCTCAAAAAAAAAAAATAATAATAAAATAAAATAAAAAGAAAGAAAGAAAAAAAAAGAAAGAAAGAAAGATGACTTGTTATACTCACAGTTTCTCCAGAGGAGGGAGCATGCCACGGGGGCCACATGGGGAGGCACTGGGGTGCCCGGGAGACAGACCTGAAGCAAGCAGCTCCTTTGTGTTTTCTGTGGGATAAGGTAGGGTAGAGAGTGGCTGGTGGAGCCATTTCAGCAGGGTCTGGGGCACAGGGGCTGTCCTGAGTTGTCCAGTACCCTGCCCCAGGTGATCAGGGCAGGTGGATAGTGGCCCGGGTGGTTGGGGTGTGGGCTCTGGGTTGGCTGGTTTGTACAGAAGAGGCACGCGTCTGCGCCAGTCCGTGACTATTTCCAGGAACTGGGAACCCCGGGAGGGGCGGTCCTTCTAATGAATAGCAAGGCCCCTGGTGTCAGCGCATCAAAGTACAGAAAATCCAGCGCATGGTTACTACCGTCGACCTCTCTGACTCAGGGGGTCAAGGCTGTGGCTGAGACGAACAATGCGGGGTGAGGGTCTCTTTCCAAGTCTGCATCCAGGTTAAAGGCACCTGGGTTCAAAGCGCAGCTTTGTCTGAGAAACCTCAGTGTTTTCTTGGGCAAGTTACAGAACCCTTCTGTGCCTCAGTTTCCCCATCGGCACAATGGGGATGATGACGAGCACATCAAGCGTCTGCTGGGGCAGCAGTGAAGATGAAACGAAGATGAAACGGGTTAATCAAAGACTGGCAGAGGCGCTGGGGGATGGGATCTGTGGCCCCTGGGGAAGCGTGCCAGGGCCTGCTATAATGGGGGTGCTGAGTGCAGGGCTGGGACAGGCGGGACTGCGGCCCAGACAGTGGGCTGAGCTCAGCGTCTGGGCTGGGTGGAAATGGCCGGGCTGGGGTTTTGGGGCCACCCTGCTGGACCTCTCCTGCTCCTGCTGCTGCTGCTGCTGCCACCCCGGGCCCTGCCAGAAGGATCTCTGGTGTTCGTGGCTCTGGTGAGGCGCCCCCGCCCCGGCCTGCCCTCAGCTCCCCCAGGGCTAGCCCTGACCAGTCCTGTCCCCAGGTATTCCGCCATGGCGACCGGGCCCCGCTGGCCTCCTACCCCACGGACCCACACAAGGAGGTGGCCTCCACCCTGTGGCCACGAGGCCTGGGCCAGCTGACCAGGGTGAGAAGTGGGTGGGAGGTAAGGGCAAGGGTGGGGGGGGGAGAGGGGTAGACTAAGGCTGTTCTGTCCCCAGGAGGGGGTCCGCCAGCAGCTGGAGCTGGGCCGCTTCCTGAGGAGCCGCTATGAGGCCTTCCTGAGTCCCGAGTACCGGCGGGAGGAGGTACTGCCATAGTCACCCCCACCTGGTCCCCTGACCTTCCACCTTTGACCTCCACTGACTACAACACTCTCTTTGGGCCTCCACCTCTGGCCTTTGACCTCCATCAACCTGACTTGCCCTCTACCTCTAATCTCTGACCCCCGGTACACTGACTAACCCACACTGACTTCTGACTCCATCTCAACCTGTCACATCTCGACCTCTGACCTCCATCAACTCTGACTTTATTATTTGGCCTCCATCTCTGTTTTCTAGTCCCGTTGACTGCAATCAGACCTCTGGCCTCTGTCATTTGACCCCAAACTTGATTTCGATCTTTGACCCTTATTGACGTAACTTGCCTTCCTGACCTCTAACCTTTAACCTCTACACTTTGTCAATTCTGACCTACCTCTTTTGTTTCCTCCTATGTCTTCTGACATCCCCCAGTTACAGACAGTCCTCCTGACCTCCGATGAACATGTATTGAACTCTGACACCAAGCCTCCACGCTGCCCTCCTAAACTTGACCTCTAACCTCCAGCCTCCACCAATTCTGATCTTCCTTTTTGACCCTCATTGACTCAAATGACCCCCTAAATCCAACATGGCTGTCCAGTTTAGGACGTCCAGCCCAACTGCTCCTGACATTAACCTCTGGACCCTTGATCCCAACTTCCAACATTGACGGCCACATGATTCTCAGTGTCTGACCCCTATTCCAAACTGAATCTGAGGCTTCTGATTTGCCACCACAGCTGACCTCTGACCCCAACCACGACCCCCCGCCTGCCCTCTCTCCACCCCGCTCCAGGTGTACATCCGCAGCACGGACTTCGACCGCACACTGGAGAGCGCGCAGGCCAACCTTGCCGGGCTGTTTCCCGAGGCTGCTCCAGGGAGCCCGGAGGCCCACTGGAGGCCGATCCCAGTGCACACGGTGCCCGTGGCTGAGGACAAGGTCAGGGCGCTGGACCCAGGTGTGGTGAGGGAGGGAGCGGGTGGAGAGAGAGGCAGCTCTGGGTCTGGCCACCTGAGCTAGCTCCGAGAAGCAACGCTGTCCTCGAGCCGGTCTGTCTGGCTTCTTCTGGATCTGGGAGAAACTGCGACAGACGCGGGGGCAGAGAGCCCGGGTTCCCCCAACCCGCTGTGAGACCCAAGGCATGTGGCTGTCCTCTCTGAGCCTCAGTTCTCCCCAGCTGCTGAGGTTCCCCATGCGCAGCTGTCCCAGATACCACGAGCTGCTGCGGGAGGCCACCGAGGCCGCCGAGTACCAGGAGGCCCTGGAGGGCTGGACGGTGAGCAGGGCGGTGGCGGGGTGGGGCGAGGCACAGGGGACCGGCCAGGGCTCACCCAGCCCCGTGCATCCAGGGCTTCCTGACTCGCCTGGAGAACTTCACGGGGCTGTCGCTGGTTGGAGAGCCGCTGCGCAGGGCATGGAAGGTTCTGGACACACTCATGTGCCAGGTGAGCCCCGCCCCTTCCCAGCCAAGGGTTTAAGGGCAACTGTTTCCAATCCCAGCTTGCTACTCACTAGCCCTGTTCCCTCATGCGTTTAGTTAACCCTCTGTGCCTCAGTTTTCCCATCTGCACAGTGGGGATGGCAACACCGGTATCAACACCTCCCCAGGACGCCGTGAGGATTCAAATGGTTAATCTACGCACTGTGCTTACAACAGTGCCTGGCACACAGTGAAGGCCTTGCTAGGGTTTGAGGCTACACATTTGGCAATTCCTCCCCACAGTCCTGTAATCAGAAAACCCAAAACCTGGGCGGTGGGAGCTGACCTGAAATAGACAGGGTCTCGCTCTGTCACCCAGGCTGGAGTGCATTATCATAACTCACTGCAGCCTCCATCTCCCTGGCTATAGGAATCCTCCTGCCTCAGCCTTCCAAGTAGCTGAGGCAGGTGCACATCACCATGCCTGGCTAATTTAAAAAAAAAAAAAAAAAAAAAATTTTTTTCAGAGATGGGGTCTCACTATGTTGCCCAGGAACTCGTGGGCTCAAACAATCCTTTTGCCTCCCCAAGCGCTGGGATTACAGGCGCGAGCCACCACACCTAGCTAGTACTCTTACTCTTGCTAGTCTTTGCTCGCTCCAGCTCACGGAATGTTCCAAATCACAGGGTGGGAGCAGCGATGTGTGTGACTAAGGGGGCTGCCCCAGCCCTTGCTGTGTGTGTTCCATGCTGTGTGGTGTCAGCACCATCAGATCTTTCTGAAGTCCAGAATGTCTGAGCTATGAAACCCCTCTGGTCCCAGGGGTTTCAGATAAAGCCTTCTGGGCTGTGGAATGACAACATCTATTATTAATTAATGATCGCTGTTGGCCGGGCGCGGTGGCTCACGCCTGTAATCCCACCACTTTGGGAGGCCGAGGTGGGTGGATCACCTGAGGTCAGGAGTTCGAGACCAGCCTGGCCAACATGGCGAAACCCCGTCTCTACTAAAAATACAAAAATTAGCTGGGCATGGTGGCACGCACTTGTAATCACAGCTATCGCAAGGCTGAGGCAGGAGAATCACTTGAACCCATGAGGCGAGGATTGCAGTGAGCCGAGATTGTGCCACTGTACTCCAGCCTGGGTGATGGAGCAAGGCTCCATCTCAAAAAAACCCAAAAAAACAAAAAAAGCAAAAAAAAAAAACAAAACCACACTGCTGTCCACATTCATGATTTCCCAGCCTGATCCAGATCCAGCCCATGGGAGATTCAAAAGAGCAGGGGGCAGCACAGGCCTGTGGGGCCAGAGGCAAACTCGAGGGCTCAGGATGGTCCGTCAGTCTTCTCTTCCCGTCTCCCCACAGCAAGCCCATGGTCTTCCACTACCAGCCTGGGCCTCCCCAGATGTCCTGCGGACCCTTGCCCAGATCTCGGCTTTGGATATTGGAGCCCACGTGGGCCCACCCCGGGCAGCAGAGAAGGCCCAGTTGACAGGGGGTGAGGTGTGGGGCTGGGAGGCTGGGGTGCCTCCCTCTGGGAGATTCTAAGCTCTTTTTTCCCATCCTCAGGGATCCTGCTGAATGCTATCCTTGCAAACTTCTCCCGGGTCCAGCGCCTGGGGCTGCCCCTCAAGATGGTCATGTACTCAGCCGTGAGTCCTTGGGAAGCAGTGCCATATGACACTGAGGCACAGGGATGAGGGTGACAGCGATTTGGGTGAGGAAGAGCCTGCGGTCCCAATGGACCCCAGTCCATTGCCTTGGGTAGCCTGTATCTCCAAACCCTACTCTTGGGCTATATCATTAGTCTGGAAAGAGGGAGGTGATGGTGTTACGGGAGGAAGAATGTATGAATTAAAGATAATTCCTTGTTTTCATTAAGAAAATATTGGCCAGGCGCGGTGGCTCAAGCCTGTAATCCCAGCACTTTGGGAGGCCGAGACGGGCCGATCACGAGGTCAGGAGATCGAGACCATCCTGGCTAACACGGTGAAACCCCGTCTCTACTAAAAAATACAAAAAACTAGCTGGGCGAGGTGGCGGGCGCCTGTAGTCCCAGCTACTCGGGAGGCTGAGGCAGGAGAATGGCGTCAACCCGGGAGGCGGAGCTTGCAGTGAGCCGAGATCTGGCCACTGCACTCCAGCCTGTGCAACAGAGCGAGACTCCGTCTCAAAAAAAAAAAAAAAAAAAGAAAAAAAAGAAAATATTGGACTAAGCAGTCTGTCCTTCCAGAGGAGACAGGCTGCTTAGTCCAATCATATTTTGCACCTATTTGAGCCATCTTTGTTAAATGGCCGCCTGTAACTGTTGGTACTGCCTTCAGGGTGAGAGGGAGGGAAGAGCAAGTTTGGGGGGTTGGTTCCAAGCAGCCTGGGGGACATCTGGATGCACAAGTCTAGTGTTCAGGAGAAAGGAGGCCTCCAGGGAGAAGTGTCATCTCACCCCTTGGCTCCACCTGCAGCATGACAGTACCCTGCTGGCCCTCCAGGCGGCCCTGGGTCTCTATGATGGACATACCCCGCCATACGCCGCCTGCCTCGGCTTTGAGTTCCGGAGGCACCTGAGGGATCCTGATAAAAACGGAGGGTGAGGATGGGATGGTGCCCAGGGAGATGGGCGGGACAGAACTCCCAAAGCAAGGTGTGATGTGCTAGGCAGAAGGCATGGCGGGGCAGGGAACTGCATGGGATGGTGCTGGGAGGATAACAGGTGGGAGTCAGGAGCCCGTTTCTCCAGGTTTTAAGATCAATGACGGGAGGGAGAAGGTGCCACTGTGTCCTCTCTCTCCAGGAATGTCACCATCTCCCTCTTCTACCGCAATGGCTCCGCCCACCTGCCGCTGCCTCTCAGTCTCCCCGGGTGCCCGGCTCCCTGTCCACTACGCCGCTTCTACCAGCTGACTGCCTCGGCTCGGCCTCCGGCCCATGGGGTGTCCTGCCATGGCCCCTATGAGGCTGCCATCCCCCCAGGTGACAGTCCTCTGTGCTGGGGTGGGAGTGCAGGGTTCCAAGTCCTGAAACTCACACCCTGCATGCTCTCCCTGCAGCTCCAGTGGTGCCCCTGCTGGCCGGAGCTGTAGCTGTGCTGGTGGCACTCAGCTTGGGGCTGGGCCTGCTGGCCTGGAGACCAGGGTGCCTGCGGGCCTTGGGCGGCCCCGTGTGAGCCAGAAACCATTGTTTCCCTACCCCCAGCTGACACTGGACCCCAACACGTATGCTCACTAGCTGTTCTGGCTTCTGTGACTTACTGTGCGCCTGTGTGCGTGGGGAACGAGGGCTGGGTGGAGTCTCTGGCCTGGAAACCAGTTTGTGTGTGCTCATATGCGCGTCTGTGACAGTGGCATGAGTGTGCATGCATGCATGTCACGTGTGACCACTGTTTTTGCGCTTATGCGCGTGCACAGGTAGTCTGTACGTACTTACTGATAAAAACGTGTCTGTGGCACACATTCAAGCACAAATGTGCCCATGTCTGAACAAGCAGGCATGCCTGCATGGCACTTTTTTGGTAGAGACAGGGTCTTACTTTGTGGCCCAGGCTGGAGTAGTGCCATAAGCATAGCTCACTGCAGCTTCGAACTCGTTTCAGTTTCTACAGGTGTGCACCGTGCCTGGTTTTGTTTTCTTGGTATGTTGGCCAGGCTGGCCTCAAATAATCCTCCTGCCCTGGCCTCCCAAAGCACTGGGATTATAGTTGTGAGCCACCACACCCGGCTGGCATGTTTATGCATGTTTCTATGCAAGCACTGGAAGCATGTGGCTGGCTGAGGACCTAGTGGACCCTGTATGTACCTCCACATGCAGCTTGTGTGACAGGAGCTTGCTCAGTGAGCCTCGATGTGGGCCATGTGCTCTGTGGAGACCCGGCTCACAGGAGTTGGACCCTCGTCTAGAAAGTGACCTACACCAGCTCTCAAAGCAACCATGAACTCGGGTGGGGTCAGGGGGATCCGGCAGCAGAGACCTCAGAAAGGTGCACGATTCAAAGCCTGGTTTCCGAGGCTGTGCGCCTCTGGGCAAGTAATAGGCCCTTCTGTGTCTCACTCAGAACCACGACTCTAAGCCAGCAGAATCCTCAACTCCCAGACTTCCTTCCTGGGGGCAGGCAGAGAGCAGGGAAAGATGGCAGCGCTCTCCGGGTTGTGCACTGCAATGCTGCAAGCGATGTGGAGGCGCTGGCCAATACAGTAGTCACCACCACGTGTGGCTATTTAAATTTAGGTTAAATAAAACAGAGTGTTTGGGTCCCAACCATTGCACAGGCCATGCACCCACCACTCGAACATTTATCACATGCTGATGAGAGCTACTCCACCCCCACTCATGCAGTAGCAGGCGCTGTGGGGCACCTGCATGGCTGCCATTTGAGTCCCTGACCCAAGGGGGAGGGTGCCTCTTCGTGTGGCACAGGGCAGAGCACCAGTCCCTCCCAGGCCTTGTCCCACACCCATGGCTGTGTGGCAGCGTCTAACCAGAGCACTCGTGGGGAGCCTGGGTGCAGTGGACGCTTAGTAACAGCCACTTGGTCCCCATTACACGGAGCAGTTGGAGCAAAGTTCAAAGCCACTCCCAGTGACCAGAACCTAAAAAAGGAACAGGGTCCAGAAACACCAGTGAGCGGAAGCTGGGACGACCCCTCCCCCACACCAGGGCCACCTGCATACCGCCCTAAACCCATTTCTTCCCAGGGTCCTGAGGGCAGCCTCTCATGCAGACTCGTCCCTGGGGAGTCCCCAGACCTGCCTCACTGCCCTTCCCGGCATTCCCTAGAGGTGTTGGGTGGTCATGGGGCACCTCAAATGGATGCCCGGAGCCATGACCCTGGGAAGGCTGAGGAACGAATGCCCCTCATACTTTCTGGCCCTGGGAGGCAGCCTGGCTGCTTCCTTGCAGGTTCATGGAGACCGCAAGTGCCAGGTGGGGTTCCCTGTGGCTGTGACCACCTCTCACCTGGTGGTGAGAGCCCACCCTTTCCCAGCAGCCTGCTGGAAGGGCCTGTGCAGAGCCGGGAGCCTGCTAGTGGGCAGAGGCCTGGGTGGATCCCCCTGGACCCAGCTCAGGAGCTGAGCCCACAGAGGGCGAAGTGGTATGTCCGTGGTTTAACAGGGGCCCCTGTGCCCAAGACCTCAGCTGCGAAGCCAGAGCCGCCAGGGCTCAGTGAGTCCAACACACCCTAAACCCAGACCCAGAACTCAGACCAGACAGAAGCCACACACAGCAAAACCAGACCCATCAAAAGGGACTGGGGCTGACCACAGCACACAGCCAATGCACACTTTCAGAGAGAAGGCATAGCAACAGAGGTCTTAAGAGAAAACCCATGACAGGCCTGGCGTGGTGGTGGCAGCTCACATCTATACTCCGAGCACTTTGGGAGGCCAAGGCGGGTGGACCACCTGAGGTCAGAAGTTTGAGACCAGCATGGCCAACATGGTGAAACCTCATCTCTACTGAAAATACAGAGCCAGGCGTGGTGGCAGGCGCCTGTAATCCCAGCTACTTGGGAGGCTGAGGCAGGAGAATCACCTGGACCCAGGAGGTGGAAGTTGCAGTGAGCCAAGATTGCACCACTGTACTGCAGCCTGGGCATCAAGAGCAAAAACCATCTCAAAAACAACAAACCAAACCAATCCTTACAAACACTAAGTAAAAGCTTCAAGATGCTTTTATGTCATCGGTGTGGGGTCTCCCTGCTTGTCCTGCAGTGCTTTGGGGCTCCATGTGGCAGAGGGGTGGGTACCCATGGTACCCACCTACCCTGCTGCCTGGACAGAAATGTAGTATGGCATGCAATGCCTGGGGGTATCACTCCCCCCAGGGACTCATGGTAAGTGTCCACTCACGCAGCCTGCTCCCCTCATGACGTCTGGCCAGTGACACCCACGGGGGAGAGGTTGGGGACAGACACCCCTCTCTTCTGGAGCCCTTGAACATAGTGTCAGGGTGTGGCCAGCTGGAGGGATGCCGAATGGCTCCACGGGGAGGGTACTGCCCAAGGCTTTTTGCCTCCCCTACCCTGTCCCGCACTTCCTGACTGCAGCTCAAACCAGGAGCAGCTCCCCCAGGATTCTGGCCTGCTTCACTCCTGGAGCACCAGACCAGGCGGTATCTGTCCTCGGGAGCCAGGCCCAGGTCTCATGGCGGCATATGGGCAGCTCCTCCCCACAGGCCTGGTCAGAACAGGGGAGCAGGCTGGTTCCTCCCCTAGCCTGCAGGAAGCCCTTGGTAGCCCACTCATCCACCTTCTCCTGGGTGTGCGGCTCAGCAGCCAGGTCCTTGTGCACTGGGTTGGGTCCTAGCGTGAGCCTGGCAGCCTCTGGCTCATGGAAAGCAGCCTGCTGTCGGCAATGGCCTGGATGTCCAGGACGGCCTAGAACAACGTCATGCCCTTGACCAGCTGGCGCTGGTACAGGCCCTGGGTAACCTAACAGGCATATCCTTGGGAGTCACTGGCTCGGGGGCAGACGATGAGGTTGAAGAGGAAGCTGGATACCCCTCTCCATGGTGGGCCAGGGCTGGAAGGGCGGCTCAGTGGCCTCGAAGTGCTGGGAGGACTCCCAGCTGGCACCAGGCCACCAGCAGCCAGGTGGGCAGTGCCGCGCTGCTGTTGCCCTCAGGGCCTTGCAGTGGTAGCTGAAAATGGCACGTTGTCAGGTCGGATCAGGTCGGCCAGCAACAGCAGTTCTTGAGATGAAGCACAAGGCAGGGGCCCGGCCATACACCTGCAGGGCCCAGGAGAGCTTGTTGCGGTTCTTGCCCGAAGCGCTGAGACAGCCAGGAGCTCAGTATCCCTGTAGCAGGAGCAGAACCAGCTCCGGCCCAGGTGGGTGGGTGCAGCACTTTCCTAGCCATGGCTGCAGCCACCCCTAGGCAGGAAACAGCAGAGAGCCTGGAGGGACGCTGTCAGGGGAAGGACATAGAAAAGGCGCTGAATGGGGGAAATGGCCACACCCCCACCCATCACCTCCTGGAGCGGGGCCCCTCAGACCCCCGGGTGTCAAAGGTCCCGGGGTGCACCATGTCCTCAGGGGCAGTCGGAGCCCAGTGCTGGACATCATGGGGTCCCCAAGTGCAGCCCTTTCAAGACCCAACACTGGACATCTTGCTACAACCCAGTCCCAGCCCCCATCCCACCTCCGCCCGCCAACAGGGTTACTAAGAAGGTTAATGAGCCCAGTGCCTACGGCAGCGCCTGGCTTGGCACTTGCTGGGCAGCTGTCTACGTCCACCTTCTCACCATCACCATGAGTAACAGGCAGCCTCCTCTGTTCTTACCAAGTGATGGTCAGGCCCTTCAGCACCTGGAGGCAGGAGGGCACAGGGGAGGGAAGGTCAGTAGGGTGCAGGGCAGTCAAGACACCCCATCAGCCCTCCCCAGAGTTAGGGCCCCTCAGACCCCCGGGTGTCAAAGGTCCCGGGGGGGGCACTGTGTCCTCAGTGGCGGTCGGAGCCCAGTGCTGATCATCATGGTGCCCTCACACCCTCCTGACATGGGTCCCAAGGCCACCTGCTGTCCTGAGGGGGACATCACAGAAGGGTGCTGAGAGATCGGGCAACAAACTGAATGACACTTGGTCCCTGGGGATGCCAGGCCGCCCCCCCCGACCCAATCCAGCTCAGTCTGGGTGTGGCTCCTTGTATACTCTAGGCCCACCTGACCTCACCCCCACCACAGTGGTGTTTCTCTGGAAAACGGCACATCTGTGGGGTTCAGTGAGAGGACGGGACCAAACCCTTCTGCTTGGACCTCCCGTGCCCTAATGGGATACCCCTCAATCGCCTCTGCCTGCGTCTCAGGTCTGCTGCCCCAACCCAGCTCTTCCAAGCTGCTCTGACTTCACCAGAACCTTCTGTGACATGGGGAAGGGGCAGCTGCCTCCCACTGGGACCCTGGCAGGGTAAGTTCAGTTTATTCTCTGCAAAAGCACTAACACTGCGGGCACTCGTTCAGTGTGAGCTGCTGTTTATCAAGCACAAAACACCAAAAGCTCCATTTTGCAAAGAAATGTGCTTTGTCCAAAAAGGGGGCCCTTGTTTAAACAAGAAAAATTTAAAACCCAGCTTCCAGCCACAAACTAGCCACATTCCAGGTGTCCAAGAGCCACCGTGGCCAGTGGCTGCCACACGGGACAAGGCGAGGAACATTTCTATCTGGACGGTCGTACGGAAGGCGCTGGCCTAGAATCCAGATGCTACATGTCCCTTCTGTCTTCCCTATCCCGCACCAGCTCTGTCTTCTCACCTCTCACACATCCCTACCCAACTGGCACCGACCCCACTCCTTACGTCCCCAGGAATCCCCTCTAAGCCAGCCATGACAAACGCTCAGCTCCATTCACTCCCCACAGAGGATCTCGGATTAAGAACACAGGACCCTCAGGGAGATACTCAGGGGAGCTGCAATCCCAGCCAACCCTCCCCAGAAGCAGCCCTTGCCAGAAACAGCTGAAACCTCCAAGAACCTAGAGAACACACTTTCAGGTATATTTCACTGCAGCCACCGTTCCAGCTCCTGACATCTAAGGAACAAATGAAAATCCTCCCAGAGCTGAGAACACCTGTCTCTTTTCTGATAACACACTCATACTTGTCTAATGATTTTGTTCTTTGAAAGAATTCTCCTGATAAAGCCTGTTATTTTTATTGTGAAAATAGGGATTCCTTGAATTTTATCAGTTTATATATAAATGGTTCACTGGAGGCTAAGCTGTGCTTAAAGACACATTGCATTCAGCCTACAAAACCCATGAACAACGTGACAGGATCACTTGGGAGTCACTGTTTCTTCTCCACTGCTGAGTTTTGACATGTTTGATTAGTTCTTTCCCCTGAAACACAAATGCTTGTTCTCTCCAGTCCACACATTCCTCTTCTTATTCAAGCCCTACCTTTGGACGGCAGGAAGTGCTACTGTCCTGGGCCATCTGCTCAGTGCCTGCCCCACAGACACAGCAGTGAGGTGCATAAGAGCGACGGCCTGGTGAAATGTCTCAAAGGCTGTAAACAGCAGAGCTGGGATTTGGACCCAGGCTTGCTGCGGAGTTTCACTCTTCTTGCCCAGGCTGCTTCCCGGGTTCAAGTGATTCTCCTGCCTCAGTTTCCCAAGTATCTGGGATTACAGGCATGTGCCACCACGCCTGGCTAATTTTTTGCACTTTTTTTTTTTTTTTTGAGGCGGAGTCTCGCTCTGTCGTCCAGGCTGGAGTGCAGTGGCCGGATCTCAGCTCACTGCAAGCTCCGCCTCCCGGATTTACGCCATTCTCCTGCCTCAGCCTCCTGAGTAGCTGGGACTACAGGCGCCCGCCACCTCGCCCGGCTAGTTTTTTGTATTTTTAGTAGAGACGGGGTTTCACCGTGTTAGCCAGGATGGTCTCGATCTCCTGACCTCGTGATCCGCCCGTCTCGGCCTCCCAAAGTGCTGGGATTACAGGCTTGAGCTACCGCGCCCGGCCAATTTTTTGCACTTTTAGTAGAGACGGGGTTTCACCATGTTGGCCAGGTTGGTCTCAAACTCCAGACCTCAGGTAGCCCACTTACCTCAGCCTCCCAAAGTGCTGGGATTACAGGCGTGAGCCACCACGCCTGGCCTGAGATGGTTTTTGTATGTCAACACTGAGTGCAATCGTTGACACATAAATTAGTTGCCAGAGATACGGTATGAAGTCAACTTAGACAGTCAGATATTTTAAACCCAGGTGAGTCAAGGAGCAGGAGCAAGGGTTCTTACCTGGATAGGCATGGTGGGTAGTCCTAAGCTTGAAGCTGCACCTGTAACACAGAAAGACACAGTGAGGGTGGGGGAAGAAATAGTCTGCAAGTCCATGAGCCATTAAAACTGGGGCCCCTCAGACTCCCAGGTGTCAAAGGTCCTGGGGTGCACTGTGTCCTCAGGGGTGATCGGAGCCCAGTGCTAGACATCATGGGAGCCCCAGTCCCTCTGCAACCAGGTCCTGAGGCCACTTACCTTCAGGAACAAAGGCCAAGCTAACAGAGCTTAAAGAGTAGGAAACGTGGCCGGGCACAGTGCCTCATGCCTGTAACCCCAGCACTTTGAGAAGCCGAGGTGGGCGGATCACGAGGTTAGGAGTTCGAGACCAGCCTGACCAATATGATGATACCCCATCTCTACTAAATTAGCCAGGCTTGGTGGCGCATGCCTGTAATCTCAGCTACTCGGGAGGCTGAGGCAGAATTGCTTGAACCCAGGAGGCGGAGGTTGCGCAGTGAGCCGAGTCGCACCACTGCACTCCAACCTGGGCGACAGAGCAAGACTCTGTCTCAAAAAAAAAAAAAAAAAGGGGGGGGGTGGGTAGGAAACTCAAAACCCATCCAGAAGGTAGGAATGACTAGTTTTGCTCATGGAAACACCAAGATGCCCCAACCTCCCCAGTGCCACAGGTCCTCGGGGGACTGTCCTCATGGGATGAGCAGGATACCAAATGCACTACATGAAGATGTCCCCGGTGTTCATCCCCAACCCTTTGCAGGTTTCTTTAGCACTGTCTACACCTGCTCATAAGCCGTAAACAGAAAGCTGCCAAGACATAAATCCCCTGGAAGAACTTATTGAGAGAAGGGAGGAGGAAGAGGGCTATTCTAGGAAGAAACCAAGCCAACTTCTAAATAATAGTAAGTAATGAGCAGAGACCCTCGACTGAGTCAAGTCTGAACATATCAGTTGTAAAAGACATTTCGATGGGCCGGACGCGGTGGCTCATGCCTGTAATCCCAGCACTTTGGGAGGCCGAGGTGGGCGGATCACGAGGTCAGGAGATCGAGCCCACCCTGGCTAACACGGTGACACTCTGTCTCTACTAAAAACACAAAAAAATTAGCCGGGCGTGGTGGCGGGCGCCTGAAGTCCCAGCTACTTGGGAGGCTGAGGCAGGAGAATGGCGTGAACCCGGGAGGTGGAGCCGGCAGTGAGCCGAGATCGTGCCACTGCACTCCAGCCTGGGGGACAGAGTGAGACTCCATCTCAAAAAAAAAAAACAACAAACAAACAAAAAACCATTTCGAAGATGACTGAGGATCAGGCACAAAGCAGATTGTTAACTGCAATATTAAGGAATTAACGTCATTAAGGGTGACAATGCTAATAACATTAAGTAGAAAAATGGTACTTTAGATATACAAGTACACTACTTCTTTCAGGGCAAAGAGTTCTGTTGCCCAGGCTGGAGTGCAGTGACACAACCTTGGCTAAAGACAACCTCTGCCTCCTAGGCTTAGGCGATCCTCCCACTTCCTCCATAAGTAGCTGAAACTACAGGCCTGGAACTACAGGCCTGGCTCACCTACTTTTCCCAGAGATGGGGTTTTGTCATGTTGCTCAGGCGGGTCTCGAACTCCTAGGATCAAGCGACCCACCCACCTCCCAAAGTGCTGGGATAATAGGCGTGAGCCACCGCGCCCGGCCATGAAACTTACTTTCAACTAAGCACAAAGTTCTTGAATATGGCAAGATGGTGCAAATGTTACTTTCCCATTTGTTAGTAGATTTTAATATTGCCAAAGGAGGACGTGAAAATGATGAACGCAAGAGAAAAATACTTTCACTTGTGACATGAACAAACTCAATGATTTTCTAGGTGGATGCCTGAAGGAGCAAAGTCAAATAGAGATCCTCGCAGGGTCGTGGTGGGGGAGATAGGAAATCGGCTAGCTGCTTCCAGGGTGAGCCTCCTCGGCAGGGGCATGGGCCCCACTCAAGTCAGGAAACCGATGTTCAAGACCTTAAAGGACCTAAGTCAAAAACTAAAGTTAACAAAACCCTCTCACGTGGCATGAACGGTCAGAATGACTCCTGCAGGTAAGCAAAGGCCTCGTTTGCTTTATTCTACATCCATTCCTACATGGTTCTCAAAAAACCCCAGCAATTCACCTAGAAACCTCAATCCCACTTCTTGGTAACTCGATACCCTGTCTCTGCTCCTATGGAACCCCCCCAAAGCCCCCTCCTTTTCCGTCCCCGTCTTTGTTCTAGGTTGCACAAATACGCCAGCCGTCCAGAATTGTGAACACAAGAGCAAAATCCTAAGGAAGCATCTGAAACCCTCGGAAAGAACTCAGTGTCGTCTCCCAACCCGCCCACCCCTCTCCCCCAACCAAACGGACAAGATGACGGAGGCCCGCGGCGTGCGGACAGCACAAGGGGCGAGCTCCGCCGAGGGCAGACGGAGGAGGGTCCGCCCGGGCATTCCTGCTCGCGCCAGCTGTAGAAGTCGCCACCTCCCAAGTGCCCCAAACAGCCACCACCATCCCCGCAGAAAACTCCCAGACTCGCCCCAGAGCGCGCTCTCTGGGTCCCTGCAAACGCCCTGACCCTGTCCACGCGACTACATGGCCGCTCCCGTTCCAACCTCGAGACCTTCAGGACACGTGCGTCCATCATCTCAAAGCCCCGCCACACAGCCGGGAAAAAGCCACAATTAAGAATCTTACCCCAGCATTTCTCTCTACAAAGCGGACGCGGATTGCAGCACGCGCCGCTTTATAGTGCGCGCCGCTCTCAAGGCCGGGCCTCGGCGCCAGCCTGCTCTCCGCCAGAGGCGTCCAATACACACGCCTGTTTGGGAAACCCCATTTCATGCTTAGGGAAAGGAATACTGCCTGCTTCCGCTAGAATCTTCCTGAACAAGCGAGGAGACGTTGTCTCTGGGGCTGACAAAAAGGGGCAAGGACGTGATGGAAACGATTGTCTTCTCACCTGCGTCCGGCAATTCTGAAGATAGCACCAAAGATGGGCCGTGACGTGAAAGGCCCCCAAGGGCGGCCCGACCCGAGAGAGAAGCCGCTGGGACTATTTGCGCGGCCGGGGTTAGAGCTGAGGCTGCAGAGGCGGGGTCCAAGCCGAAGGGCCGGACCGAAATTAAGTCCCCGCCAAGGGTCGGGAGGCGGGGGCCAGTGCGGAGATTGACAGGGGGCCGTCCTGGGAAAGCGCCCACGTGGCGCAGAGTTAGAGGCGGAGCCTACACGGTGAGAGGCCGGTCTAGAGCAGGGAAGCAAGGGCCGGAAGGAGGGACCCTGGGTCTGGAGAAGCGGGGGATGAGGTCCCAGACTCCTGGGTCTGAGGGAGGAGGGACTGGGGACCTGGACTCCTGGGTCTGAGGGAGGAGGGACTGGGGGTCTGCACTTCTGGGTCTGAGGGAGGAGGGGCTGGGGTCGCGATTCCCTTGTTTGGGAGGAGAGGGGGTTGGGAGCTGGGACTCGTGGAGCTGAGGGAGGCTTTTGGGGCTCACACCCACTTTTGATGGTCTAAGGCCTGGGGGCCTGCATTCTTGGTAGGGTTGGAGAGCTGAGGAGTATCTTTCCACTGATACGATTATACAGTCTTTCCACTTATATGATTATTTTGAAAATAAAAAAATGAAACTTCTCTACTCCAAACTCACTTTCTAGGAGTTTCACTGTCAACAGTTTGGGGTGGACTTTATTTATGTTTCATTTTTTCAGGTGGAGTCTTGCTCTGTGGCCCAGGCTGGAGTGCAGTGACCTGATTTCAGCTCACTTCACCCTCTGCCTCCCGAGTTCAAGCAGTTCTCGTGTCTCAGCCTCCCGAGTAGCTGGGATTACAGGTGCCCATCACCACGCCCAGCTAATTTTTTTGTATGTTTAGTAGAGACAGGGTTTCACCATGTTGACCAGGCTGGTCTTGAACTCCTGACCTCAAGTGATCCGCCTGCCTCAACCTCCCAAAGCACTGGGATTACAGGTGTGAGCCACCAGGCCTGGCCTGGTGTGGACTTTATACACACACACACACACATACACACACACAATGAATAAAGATACTTTTTTCCACTCTAATTTGTCCCATAAGTTGTTTCCCATATGAGTACATACAGAATTATCTCATTCAACAAACAATGTCAAAGGGCTTCTTTGTGTGAATTGAACACGTTTTGTTTAGTGGGTCCCTGGTCAGTGAGGAGATTCCTTTCATGAAACTTGTGGTCTGAAGTAAAAGGAAGAGACCTACATTCCTCTCTTAAGGAAATAAGAGACATTTATGTCACTGGCTGCTGCCTAACTCCAGCATAAAAGCAAAGTCCTCACTGTGACCCATGCAGCCCTTGGTGATCTGGCCCCTGTCCCCTCTCAGCCTGCATCTCTTTCCTCTCCCTTGGCCTCCCTGGTGCTCCTAGAACCTGCCAAGGACGTTTTTACTTCAGGGACTTTGCACGTGCTGTCCTCTCTGCCTGGAACTATTTTCCCCCATCTGCATGGTTTTCTGCCTCCCTTGGTCCTGTCTCTGCTCAGATGTCATCCTGGAGTGGAGTGCCCTGACCTCCTTGCCTCCACTTTATACGACTATGAGGCTCTCTTCTTCCCAGTCCCATCTCACTTACCCTCCTATATTTTTCCTCATAACATTTACCTCTAACCTATTATCTGCTTTATCTTATTTTATATTTTGAGACAGGGTCTCGCTCTGTCACCCAGGCTGGAATGCGGTGGCATAATACTGGCTCACCACAGCCTCGACTTCTCAGGCTCAATCAGTCCACCTGCCTCAGCCTTCGTGTAGCTAAGACTACAAGAGGACACCACCATGCCCAGATAATTTTTGTATTTTTTGTAGAGACAGGGTTTCGCCCTGTTGCCTAGGCTGGTTTTGAACTTCTGGGCTCAAGCCATCTACCCACCTCAGCCTCCTAAAGTGCTGCGATTACAGGTGTGAGCCACCATGCCCGGCCCTAACTACCTGTTTATGGACATATTTTGCTGCCCTGCCAAGTGTCAATTCCATAAGGATAAGGATTTGTGTCTGGTTTGATCAGTGCTATCCATCCAGTGTCTGGCACATAGTTGCAGCCCCATCTGTGTTTAAAGATGAAATTTGCAGCCAGGAGTAGTGGTTTAACCCTATAATCCCGGCACTTTGGGAGGCCGAAGCGGGAGAATGGCTTGAACCCAGAAGCTTGAGACCAGACTGAGCAATATAAGAGAGATCAATGTCTACAAAAAAAAAAAAAAATTAAAATTAGCCAGGCGTGGTGTCACATGCCTGTGGAGCCAGCTACTCAGGAGGCTGAGGTGGGAGAATCGCTTGAGCCCAGGAGGTTGAGGCTGCAATGAGCTGTTGCGCCACTGCACTCCAGCCTGCGTGACAGAGAGAGACCCTATCTCAAAATTAAGTAAATAAATTTGGGAGCCTTTTGCAGGAAACGGGGGAGGATTATTGCAATAGTACAGAAAGAGCACACACTATGGGCCAGGCATTGTGTTAAATCCTATCTAGATTAAAGTACTATTATTATCCTCCTTTTACAGATGGGTTCCACACCTTGCCTCTGGTCACAGAACTACTGAGTGACAGAGCCTAGACTCAAAGCCAGGCAGCTTAGCCACTGTAGGAGAGGGAGATAGATGGCAGCCCCAGGCCAAGGTCCTGTAGGACAATGATATGACTTTGTACTTGACTTGCAACTCTGCCCTGTCCAGGAAATGGCCCTCTGTTAGCCCCAAACCATCTTCAAAGGGCCGTTACACAGTCCTGTACTGGGGGACTTTGGGGAAAAGAAAGGGTGGTGGAAGGAGCTACTGGTAAGGGCAGGAGGTGAAGTGTGGGTGCAGGGGGAAATTTGCCTCCGGAAGGGTGAATTATTAAGGACCACAAAAATAAAGGATGAAGCTAAAAGGGTTTGGGGAGAATGAGATATTTGGCAAACACTGATTAAGCACTGTGTGTATGCCAGGGACCATTGGCTTGGCCTCTTGGTTGACCTTGTGCCTTGAGTCCCTTACTTATGAGTCCCTTCCCTTCCTTTCCCTATCCCTCTACCCCAGAGGGCCCAAAGATGGCCCCAGAGAGGGGTTTCAGTTCCACCAATGCTTCCAAGGCTCGGAGCTAAATTAAAGAATATTCTGGGCAGAAAATACAGATTATTTTAAAAGATATATTATTAATCAGGATTGAGGCGGGTCATAAGGGACTGAAAAAAGACGCATCTTGGTGGGGTGAGGGGCCAGAGAGCAGGGTCATCAGACGCTTGACAGAGTGCTGTGGGAGCAAGCCCACGGTGGGATCATTCACATGCCTTAGGTCCGGATGGGCTGGAGCGCCAGGATAGACCAGAAGTACATGTAATTCAGATAGGACAAGAAGCCTTGTGGAGAGGAAGAGGGCACAGGAGATGAGACACAGAGTTCATCTGCCCAATCCCAATTACAGTCCTGTCCCCAAGCCCAGTTGCATGCCCTGCTCTGCGTCAAACCCCATCCCCAAACCTATTCTTAAACCCATCACCAATTCCATCTCATCCCCTAACCTATTCCCAAACCCATCCCTAAACCGAAACTCACCTTCATCCCCTACACTGTCCCTAACCCATTCCCAAACTCCAACCCAGTCCCATCCTCATTATCCAGCCCCACGTGCATCCCCAATCCCACCTCCCACTTCGTCACTTCCTATCCAGCCCTGTCCACAACCCCACCCCTGTCCCAAATGCTATCCCACAAGATTCCTGTCTGCATCCCTGAACCCGTGCCCAAACCCAACTTCATCCTCTCCCACAGTGGTCATCAGGAAGAGGAAGACACTGGCCCAGGTCAACTAGAAGCTGAGTGCCAGCTGGTAGGTCACGCCTTCCTGCAGGTACTTGTGGGCCTGCAGCAGATAGAACAGGATACCCAGTATGATGCTGGTTTGCTGCATGAGCACAGGTGTTAGGAGGCTGAGAATCAGGTATGTGAGGACTCCTTCCCATAGTCGTGGGGCTGCCTGGCTCTGGCTCATTATTTCCCCACTTTCTTTAACCTCCCAGACCCTGCACCTTTGCTCCTAAGCAGGACGATGGGCTCCTGACCGTGTCCTGCTAGAGGATACTGAAAGTGCAAGCCTTGGGCTTTAACCAGGCAGTGGTAAGTCTGTAACCACAGGTTCTGAGGCCAACAGCAGGGATCTTCCCTGCCTCTACCTCTGGACTTAGGGCAGCCATGCCATATCCCTGAGCTTCAGTTTCCTCATCTGTAGAGTGGGCACAATCCTAGGTCCTGTCTCCTTGGGCCATCATGAGGAGTTATTGAGGTTGGCACATTTCCTGGTACACAGCAAGCCCTTTGGGATTGGGATTGATTATTTTCATTGTATTGGGTCTTTAGGGCTTCTGAAGCAATAGATGAGGAACTTGGTCATTCTGGATATATTGGAATGACATGAATTAAAGATAATTTGTGGGCCAGGCGCGGTGGCTCAAGCCTGTAATCCCAGCACTTTGGGAGGCCGAGACGGGCGGATCACGAGGTCAGGAGATCGAGACCATCCTGGCTAACACGGTAAAACCCCGTCTCTACTAAAAAATACAAAAAACTAGCCGGGCGAGGTGGCGGGCGCCTGTAGTCCCAGCTACTCGGGAGGCTGAGGCAGGAGAATGACGTGAATCCGGGAGGCGGAGCTTGCAGTGAGCTGAGATCCGGCCACTGCACTCCAGCCTGGGCGACAGAGCGAGACTCCGTCTCAAAAAAAAAAAAAAAAAAGATAATTTGTGAATAGGAAAAGACTTTTTCCACTGGACAGTGGAGTACTGGGTAGTTTTGTCTGATGTTATTGAAAAATAATATAAAAGGTATTTTCTGTTTAATTAAAAGGAGAAATAGACATAAATGATTTTCTTATAGAAAAATGTTCTGTTATAGATGGTTTAAAACGAACGTGTTTTCTATACTTTTTTAAAATCTCATAGTTTTTTTGTGCAATGTTCTATACCTTGTACTTTGTATTTAAACAATTAGGAAGAGCTACTAGATAAACTAGGTAAATGCTTTTTTTCTTTTTCTTTTTTTTTGAGACAGAGTCTGTTGCCCAGGCTGGAGTGCAGTGGCGCAATTTTGGCTCACCGCAACCTCCGCCTCCCGGGTTCAAGCGATTCTCCTGCCTCAGCCTCCCGAGTAACTGGGACTACAAGCATGTACCACCACGCCCGGCTAATTTTTGTATTTTTAGGAGAGACGGGGTTTCACTATGTTGGCCAGGCTGGTCTGAACTCCTGACCTCGTGATCCACCCGCCTGGGACTCCCAAAGTGCTGGGATTACAGGCGTGAGCCTCCACGCCCGGCCAGATGCTTTTTACTAACAAGGAAATAGGAAGTTGAATGTTCTCTATTCTCGACCTTATTAT